GAGGGAATCCAAGGCCACTTTTATTTCTGCTAAAACTGTCCAACTCTTCCAAGACAGGCAGGCACTCAATCTTATTTAGTGCCTCTTTGGTTACTACATTCTCTCTGGAATATAGCTCAGAGTAGTGCTGCACCCAGCTTTCCATCTGCTGTGCTCGGTCCTGGATGAACATGCCTGTAGTAGACTTCAAGGGAGATTTCTTCTGTATTGGATCTAAAGCCTGCTCGATACTGTTGTACATTCCCTTGATGTTACTTGTGTCTGCTGCTATCTGTACCTGAGAGCAGAGCTGAAGCCAATAATTATTGGAACATCTCCTGGCAGCCTGTTGGCTACGAGCAAGTCAAAGAGTCTGCAACTTGGACAGGCTTTGTATGCTGCTAGAGCCCTACTCTTTTCCTCGATGGCTGGTATCAACTCCTCCGAATGGGCTTCAAACCAGTCTGCCGTTTTTTTGGTCTTCTTGCCAAATGTGGACAAGGCGGTGTTATACTCAGCATTCGTCAAATGTGCACATTGTTCAGTGCATTTGCATCAGTTGGGCCTGGAAGGGTTTTCTCAAGTGCTTGGGCAAAGTCCTCCAGTTTTGTTTGATCACGAGTCTTGCTGATGTCAATACGTGGTCTTCCTTCCTTTTTCACGGGATACAATGTCTTTGCTCGCAGTTATACACCAGGGAATGATCAGTATTGTAATCAGCACTCTGGTAACTGCGCAATACTAGGAAGGCTAGAACGTCTAGTGAGGATCAAATCAACCTGATGTCAATGCATCTTGGATGTCTCCAGGAAACTCTGTGTTGAAGCTTCGTATTAAAGAATGTGTTGCTGACACAAAGACTATAGTAACAGCAAAACTACAGGAAACGTTGGCCATTTTTTGCTCATCTTCCCAATGCCAAAAGGGCCTAGACAATAAATAACTATGTTTGTCTAGAAATAACTATACATGAACAAATACAAATACATTACAAAGGCTCTAAAGTGTGCTCCCAAAGTGCTACCTCAGCGGTGGCTAAAAGGCAACTGAGGACTAGCAGCAGGGTGGGGCACAGGCACAGTAAACAGAATATGGACGAATGAGCTTTTTCAGATTCTATAATGTTCTAAAAGTCTCTGTACAGGTAACCCATATGTGTGATTCACAGAGCCCAAAAGGAGAAAAATATGTCATAGACTCTTTGTTATACTGTACATACATTCTACTGTCACAGAGCCCAAAAGGAGAAAAATATGTCACAGACTCTTTGTTACACATACATTCTACTGCTACAGACAGATTTATCTTCATAAACTGTACCACAAACTAACACTCTTAAACATACTTCTTACTCCTTTTGGCTCTCCAGCTTGAATTTTTTTGATCTTTTTCTCTAAACAATCTCACTTGCACTCTCACCAGACCCTCTGACCACATTCTCAAAGCATTCCAATCATGCTAACTAATCACCATTAAACAACGCAACTGCCAATCTCTCCAGCACTCTGTCCACAACCATCTCCAATCACTTATTAAATAGAAGAGAAGCTTTTGTTCAAATGAGGAACAAATGTGGACTGAAACTAGCTCAAGCCAGCAGCTCCACAACTCTGCTTTATGATGTAATTTTCATACAAACTGCCCCAGAAGCCAAAGAAAGGGGTATAAAAGGGGAAGACTTTCTCTCCAAAGTCTGAACACTCCACTTCTATTCTGAATTTTGCCTATTCATTTGAAATATGTGCTGTTGTTTTGACTTATACACTACTCCATAGTGCTAAAGCATTCTCTGGGCAGCTTACAACATAATTATGCAAACATCACTTTGCCTCCCCCCCCCAAGTGAGTGAGTACTCATTTTACTAACCGTGGAAGGATGGAAGGCTGAGTCAACCCTGAGTTGGCTACCTGAATCTGTCAGGATCCAACTCAGTTTGTGAACAAAGACTTGACTGCAGTACTGCGGCTTAACCAAAATGCCATGGGTCTCATTGTGCATATTTAACTTCAGCCGTCTCTATTCTTTGTGCTCTTTACACAACAAATGTCAAGAAATCTAAAATAAGTGCCCTTGTTTTGAAAACTCCCACACTGTAAAGGCTGCTCTTTCAGAAAATAAGCAAGCATGTGACCAACACCAATAGAACCAATTTGCCCCAAATTTGTCTTGCACAATCTGTAGCTATTTTACAGTGTTTTAGTGATTTAATTGTATTTTAAATTATATGTTTAATTTCATTGATTGTTCCTTGCCCTGAGATCCACTGATGCAGAACAAGTTAGGGAAATTTAAATCAATTAATAAATCAAGACTGATTAAGCAAAATTGATTGATTAACCAATCTTAAGGGGCAACTATATTGCAAATTTTACCCAATTCTGAGACACAGAAAGTTGTTTTCAACTTGCTTTTCCCCCTGTGATAATAAAAAAGAAGTATGAGGATCCATATTTTCATATCAAGAAGACTTGGAATTGCTCAAGAAACCAAACTGAATTGACCCCACTTTCCAAATCAGCTTAAATCTTGTGGTCAATATGGATTGTTTAGCGAGCACACACAAAGAGAAGTTAAAAGCACAGCTTCTTATTTTTCTGATGTAGCATATTCAATATTGAATTTAAGCAGTGAAAGTTGATTACATGTAAGGTCATTTCAATCTATGCATTTGAGTAATTTCAATGTATTACATGCCACATTGAACTTTTACATGGGAGGAAAATGGAAACATACCTAATAATTACAGTAATTGCTTTCAAAAATGTCACTGTTTCAATGATGCTGAGAAACATGCACAGTACACTCCATCTCTATATTTCAATTCCACAACACCACAGTGAGGCTAAGAGAGAAGACGTGACTGGTCCAGATTCATCCAGTGTTGTTAGCTAAGCAAGGATTTGAATCTGCCTTCCCAAAGTCCAGCGTTCTCTCCATTAGTATACTGGAAGTTTCATCTGAAAATTGGCTAGGAATGTAGGTATTATGAGAACCTTGTTTTGTTTTGACCTATTTCAGTCCCTGTGATTGTGTTTTCAATCCTCATCCTCAAACCCAGTGAAACAAGAACAATGATATTTGAGAATGACACTGGAGTGATTAACTTTGTTCAAGAGGCACTGAGGTACCAGCTCACCACTGAAGCATAATGAAATAAAACACCCTTCAGAATCTTGACAAGTATTCTTGTGTCTTCATAATGAGATGCTTGGAGACAATTTTGTAAAGGATTTCCTGAATTTCAACAGAAAGGGAGACAAGAACATTTATATAAAAATAATAAGGAAACACATAGATGCTTCTATATTGTCTTTTGAAGCATCAGTTCAAAACACATGCCATAAATTAACAAAACCTCTCTGGATACTGGCTGGAAGATGGTGGAACTTTCAAGTTCATGCTTTGGGTTACAGTAAAGGAATGTATTGAATCTGCTGTATGTTTTACATTAAAAGATGGGCAGGAGTGTACTGTGGCAAGAATAGACACTGTTGTAGTAAAATCAGACTGTTTTCTCCGACTCTATTAGGAAAGATTCTGAAGCACCCACACAGATGTGAATATGCAGGAGGTGGGTGGAAAGAATGTTTTCTCCTTATTTCTTTAGAAGTACAGTACAAGTGCTACAGTAATAGAATACAATTTGCAACACATCAATCGACTTCTGGGAGAAGAATCCTTGTGAATGTGATGCTGACAAGCATGATTGTTTTTGTTTGTTTATTTTTATTCCCAGATGATCACAGTTGACAAATTTGTATTAAAGCAGACACATTAAAAGCATCCTAGCACAGATATGGTAACAAATATGCAAAAACTTTTCAACAGGCCTCACAGAACTGACACTGAAATATGACCAAAATATATTAAAATACATATTTCCTGTTTTAATATTTGCCGAGTTTGAACAATGTGCCCAAGCCTTCATAAAACCTTTACCTCCTGACTAATCTTCCTAATGTAGAAGTGGATAAGTCACTTTTGTCTTGGAGGTGTAAGATGGGGGACAGTGGCTTAGCATGAGCCAGTATCTTCATAAAAAAACTGGTGCATCACAGGAAGGGAGGGGTAGGGGACATTGTAGCAGTCCATGGCTTCATAAATCATGGATCATAAAGCCTAGGATAAATGCAAGCTCTGTATAAAAGTAACTGCTCTGGCAATCAATGTGTACTTAACCTAATATACTTTCTTGCAATACAAATCATAAGGTGCTAATATAGCAAATGGTGCTTATTTCAAGTGTTCATATATCCCTGACCCAGCAATTTCACAGAATGCAAACAGATTCCAGTGTTTCCAGAGAGCATCAAGTGGGAAAAGCATTAATGTATGGACTTCAATTATAGTCCTGGACAAGAATCCTTAGTTTTTGTGTAAACGTGTTCCTCAGACTGATGACCATGGGGTCTTCAGTAAGTACCAGCTACAAAAGCCTTGGAGTGTGGTACACAGATTTCCCAAACAGCAGATCATTCTGAATGAAAAGAGCTAAAAGAGAACAGTGTTTTATTTCATAGATAAAGTATTTCCTTTGTCTATGAAGTGGGTAACTCTACTGCATTGATACAGGAGAATCCTCAGTCATTAAGAGGGCTGAGCATAGCACCATATTGCTTAAGAGGCTGCAGCAATGCCCCTTCATTTTTCCGTTCAGTCTCTTCTGTGTAAATATCATGCTGCTTAATGTAAGCAATAACTGAGTCTGGAACCAGATATTTCACACTTTGCCCTTTGCGCAAGGCCTGTCTTATGTTTGTGGCACTGATTTCATTCCGGACCCACTCTTTGACCAAGTGGATATTGTACTGGTATCTATTCAAAAGCTCTGATTCAGTTATACACTGTGCAGGATCACTACCAGCACGACTAATGCATACCAGCCCAAACTTGCTCACTATTTCTAAAACATCTTCTTTTTTCCAGAGGTTGGGTACTTGAAATGTCTTCAGAAAATCTGCTCCACAAAGAAGTTTCAGCTCCGGAACAACTGCAAGGATATAACAAATGATTACTCTTTTCTGAAGAGCATTACCTATCATGTTCTCTTCTGCTGAAACATTCAACCTTGGTTTTTTACTTTGGTATGGTATACAATCACAATGTAACAAAAACATGGGTGGTGTAATTTGTATCAATAAATATGAGGACAGCTAAAGGCACTTGTTCAAGAATAATCTTTAACACTGCCTTCCATTTAGCACTTTAAACTGATGGACCTGCTAAACTGGACAAGAACTGCATTTGTCCAGAAAAAAAAACTTACTGTAATTAAGTTGTCAGAAGAGTATGATATTCCTATTGAGCAGTACTGCCTGTTTAGAAAATAGCTGTGTCACATGTATAGATGAATAATACCTGTATATCTATGGCACTGAACAAAGCAAAGCAGTCACATCGAAGAGCCTTTAAAAGCAATAAATAAATGACAATAATACATTCTATCAGATCTACTGCTGTATGTCTCAACACTTTCCACCTCCTTTATTTTCTCTGTGGAGTAAACAACTCCAGTCCTTTCAGTTTCTCTTGTCAAATTGTATTCTCAAAGCTCTCAGAATCTGTTATTCTATGCTGAACTCTTCCCCCTTTGGTAAAGTCCTTCTTTGATGCAGGGTTACAAAAACTAAATGTAAAAAGAACAAAGTGTTATCTTTCAACCTACCTGTTACAAGCTGTTGTTTTTTTCATTGACAAATAGACAAACTGATTAAGAAGGAACAGATTATTATTGGAATTATTATTAGCTAATAAGGGCTAACTTTTAACACACAGGATTTTGGGGACAGTTGGTCAGTTCTAGTTTCAGCTTCAAGATAGTGGTGGGCGACTTGTAGGCCTCTAGATGTTGTTAGATTAGAACTCCTGTGTTCCCTAGATAGTCTAGCTAACAGTGAGCAATTATAAGAGGTTTGTAATCGAAAGCACCACAATCTACCCACTTCTACTTAGAGAGGAGTTTCACATTGTTTAGTAGGAGCAACTACAAATGAGTTTTAGTGAGGTGATGTAAGAAGCAACAAATGTTTGAGTCTTCATGGGGGTTTCCATTTAGAAATGCACAACAGTTCCTGAGCTTGCACTAACAGGGCTGAAGTTTTGTGGGTGGCAAAATGAACCTGTGTGACGTTCTAAAAGATACGTGATAAAATGCAAATTCTACCATGTCTCCAACCAAAGGCTTCTGGCAGCTTACCTTTGTGCTTGGGCTCTCATGAACTCCAGTCCCCAAAAGATGCTGGACTGGATTTGGACTACAAGGGGTGATCAAACAGACACATCTAGAACACATATGGAGCTTTCTTGCATATGTTATTTTTATACACAGTCCACATATACAAGTTTATGAGAGCTAAAGCAATATGGGCAGGTCGCAGTTAAGTCTGCAAAAAGAAATGAGGCAGAACTGATTCATGGGATCACCTATTCAGTAAGGTGAACTGGTGCCACAGAACTCTTGTGAAGATGCCTAGGTGTGCTTTTGTTTCTTTTAAAAAGAATCATAGAATAGCAGAAAAATGGAGTTGCAAGGAACCTATAATGCAATAGTCTCAAATCCTTGCTCAATAAGGTAAAGTTTCCCCTTGACAATTTGTTCAGTCGTGTCCAACTGTAGGGGGTGGTGCTAATCCTTGTTTCCAAGCCATAGAGCCAGCGTTTGTCCACAGACAGTTTCCATGGTCAGGTGACTAGCACAACTAGACACAGAACACCATTACCTTCCCACTGTGGTGCTACTTATTTATCTAGTCACATTTTCACACGCTTTCGAACTGCTAGGTTGGCAGGAGCTGGGACAAGCGACAGGAGCTCACTCTGTTGCATGGATTCAATCTTACAACTGCTGGTCTTCTGACCTTGCAGCACAGAGGCTTCCGCAGTTTAACCCGCAGTGCCACCATGTCCTAAATCAAACAGTATCTGACAGATGAGTCTCTAATTTTGTCTTGAATGCCTTCACTGTTGGAGAGCTCATCAGCTCCCAAGGTAATTGGTTCCATTGTCAGACTGCTCTAAGTGTTAGGCCAGAAACATTTAACAAAGTGATCTCTGAGATTTTTCTGGATGCTGAACTCTGAATTCAGCATTATGCACAACAGCTTTCCTAGGCTTCAGCGGAATTATGAAGCACACATTGAGCCCTTCTCCTGGTCATCTTTTAACATAGGAAGCTGCCTTACATCAAATCAGTTGACGTGCCCATCTAGCCCAGTACTAGAACTGGATCTTAGTCAGATGTGTCTCCCATAACCAGCTGCCTGATCCTTTGGAGATATGAGGGACTAAACCCAAAATCTTCTGCATGCAAAGTATTTCCTTCCTGGAGTCATGCAAATTAGAGCTGTGGCAAAGGAAGAGGGGAGGAAAATTCTTTGGTTTTGGGTGAACATGAAAGGAGATTAAGATCTTGATTATGATCGATGCGAAATAACTCATTTAATGTACAAAAGGAATAAGAAAAACTAATTTAATAGCCTCTAAGGAGGGACTTTGCTCGCCATCCATTTGCTGTCCTAAGAAGCCATGCCGGGAAAGTATGCAATCTGTGCATGTCCCAGAACTATGTTATTGCTCTGCTAACATACAAGTAATAGGTAGTCTAGCTTAGTTTCTGCCGTTTTCTGGTTTGTTTCTCATGTGTCTTTATCTATGTATTGTGCTACAGTATTTGGAGAAAACCTTTTGTAACTTTTTGGAATATTTGCTTTTTCTCCTTTTAACCTATTATTTTCTCTTTTAATAAAATATGGAAATCCTTTCATACAGCTGTCTGGATTTTTGGCTGAGAGTGTTTGTGGTACTGAAAGCACACCTTGCTTTGACCATGATGCTGGGATTTTGGTGTGCATGTAAGTATAGTGGCAGCTCTACCTTGCAAGGCTGGTGCGTGTTCTAAGTGTGGATTTTGTTTGGGACTCCCTGGAAGCATGTTGAGCTTGAGCGGACATTAGTGTTTGGGAGTGATAAAGTCTCAGTCAGGCTCCATAGTCTTCTCTCCAGCTAGCTGTTTTCGAGACCACTGGTTCTTAACCTTGAGTTACTCAGGAGTTTTGGACTGCAACTCCCAGAAGCCTTCACCACCAGCTGTGCTGACTGGTGTTTCTGGGCGTTGCAGTTCAAAAGCATCCGAGTAACAAAGGTTAAGAGCCACTGCTCTAGACTCACCAAGCTCAGGACAAGGATAGTGTAGCTGAGTGGCTATTGAGTTGGGCCCAGACCAGAAACCAACATACAAAAGATCTGCTTCCATCCTCTGGGCTGTAAACCCTGCCAAGCACAGATCATCTGCAGCCTATTCTGACAGACTGGAATAGACAATAAAAGGATTATTTTAAATAACATAAAGCAAGGACAGTGATCCTAACCCAAGTTATGCATTGCTATTCCATTCCTTATATATATATATATATATTCCTCTGAGTAGCTTTCCAAGCTGAGCTCTTTTGCCAAGTGATACCAAATGCCACAATGGTAAAGCTACATAGAATGTACCACCATCCATCTACCCTGACAGTCATTAAAAAAGGCAGGGGGGATGAAAAAAAATTGTGGGAACATAAGAATCTCTTCTTTAATAAGCATCAAATCTTGAAATGAAGCCAGAATTGAACAAGTAAATGGCTTTTTAAAGAAGGCTGCTGATAGAATCAACTCCAGAGGGAAGATGAGTGAGAATATAATGTCCTTGGACTTTTGAGGCTACTGTTAAATAATGATCTTGCACTTTCGCAACTGATAATGGCTTTTCTAAAGTCAAACGCCTATAACAGTGTTCTACTTTCTCTTGAGTATCCAAGTCTTTATTTTTGCAAGCTTTTGACTGGAATATCTAAATCAATACTGGCGGATAGAAAATTGTTATAATACCATGTGAGACCTTTTCAGTAAGGAGAACCAAGCTTGCCAAAGGAGAAACCACTATCAGCACAAAGGAAGCTTCTGGATTTAAGAGCCAGTGGGATCTCATTTAGAGACTAAGTTCTTGAAGCAAAACAGGTAGGAAACCAAACAAGTTATCTGCCCAAATTCAATATGAAATGGAATGACGATCAGGTGTTCCTTAAAAAGGCGGGGGAAATGCCTCTCTCTATAATGCTAAATTGGGTGACTATCACAGAGGTTTAGACCTACTGAAATAAGTCACACATAAGGTGGAAGAGTTTATCTATTAAATAGATAGTAGATCTTGTAAACGCCTCACCAGCACTTTCAAAGTAATATGGGAAAGATGCTCTTAAAAATCGCACATAGGTGTTACACCAAGGAGGAAGTAGATGGCCTCTCAAGTACTGCTTGGTGAAGAACTCAGGGGACTATTAATGAAAAGAGAAGCCTTAGGAATCCCCAGATTAATCTGAAATCTAAGCTGCAGAAGAACTGCCTGCTTCTTGTCCTGACCAATGCTTTGAATGGCCAGGAGTGAAGTTGGGAAAGCCTTTCCAAGGTGTGGATAATGTGCCAGACCTGGAAGACTGCCTTGTCTCGGACCCATCTGCACACCCCAAATTCTTGACAAATATGACTGAAGATCTCCTTGCAAGTCTTGGATTAGTATCAGACAGGGACTTCTGGGATATGAGTTCAAATCTCTGCTAAGCCATGAAATCCACTGGGTGATCTTGGGCCAAGGATTTTGCCTCACAGTGACATACCTGACAATGGTCTTGTAAGGATAACATTGGGAAGAGGAGAGCCATACATGCTGTATTAAGTGCCTCAATTGAAAGACATTATATTAAATTCAACAGTGTTTTCCTCAGAAGATTTGGAGTCATTATTGAGTTAATCTGAGACAAATACAGTGCAGTTTACCCTACTCTACAAGGAAGCTGGATATATTGTTTAGAAAGAGGAACAGCAGACAGGCATTCTGTGCTTGGCAGAAGTAATCTGAACATCCATTCTCTGTGTTTCATTTAGAGCCTCTGTCTGTCATCACTTATTAGCTTTTAGAAGCCACTATCTTGATTTTACAGCTGTCTTCTAAATCTATAGTAAGCCTTATTTCTGCCAGGAAGCTTATCAGCAAATAATAACCAGGTGGTTGGCAGTCACATGTTTAGACAGACTAGAGGTTATTTAGCCCACTGGTTCTTAACCTTGGGTTACTCAGGAGTTTTGGACTGCAACTCCCAGAAGCCTTCACCACCAACTTTGCTGGCTGGGGTTTCTGGGAGTTGCAGTTCAAAAACATCCAGGTAACAAAGGTTAAGAACCACTGATTTAGCCTAGAAACCTTTGTCAACAGTGACAATCTTCTTGTTACCTGGTCTAATTGAGAAGGAGTGTACAAAATTATTTCCTCTTTATGCATTTTATTCACTATCGTCTCTCAGTTGTTTCAAGGACTACTGAGTATGATATAAATACCATAACAATAATTGGGGCTGAGCAAGGAATTGTGAATACATATACATTCACTCAGTTGTGAAGTTGCAGCAAGGAATATGGATCTGTTTGATTTAAGTGGTCACACAGGGAGACAGGAGAAAATTCTTGTTTTCTGCTTGTTCACAGCTTTATTGAAGCCCTGTAAGAGGCATTGTAAAAGGAACTATCTTAACAAGCTGTAAGAAGGGTTTTCCCCTCTCATTAGATTTTTGTTTGTTTGTGTGTGTGTGTGTGTGTGTGTTTGTTTGTTTAGGGGCTCTAGCACATTATCACTGGTACTGAGCTTTTTTTTTAAAATGTCTTCTCTGCTTTGCAAGCCATATCCAGATTGTAATATTAATAATAAAAAGTCTTCCAAAGATAGGCTTTATATGCCCTTACCTATAAAGAAAAAAAGAGACTTTCCAAGGGCGAGTTTGCTTTACCCTCAGCTAAGAAAGATAGGAAGGAAGGAAGTCATTCAGTCTTGGTGATGGGCTTTGCTTGCTATTTCTGAGTGTGTGTTGGCAGCTCCAGCATCAGTTCAAACAATCACATGCCTGAACTGATACAAAATGATACATTTTTGAAAAAAGTAATAGCCCCAATGGCAGAGGAAAAAATTACAGATGAGTGGGGGAACTCCAAGATTATTCATATTTCCTTTTGTGCCATGTGATCAAAGGGAAAAATATCAAATTAGCCCACCCCAAACTTGCAGCATTTCCTGCATTTTTCCCAGTGTAGTCAAGTCCTTCCTTTGGAACAGTCAAATGCAATGAGAACCTGCTCTGGCATCCATCCATTTGGGATAGCATACATCTTGGTGCCTTGTGTGATACTCTATGCTGGATTACAGCTCTCATCATCTCCAGACTAATCCCCATGACAGATAACAATCTGTTGCTTTGAGATGTTGGGAACTGTAATTCATCTGGATGCCTCCTGACTACTTCTGCATGACTTCCACTCTCCTTGTGAAACTGATAAGATGTCAACATTTTCAGCAGACATTGTCTTGAGAACAGCATCATTCTTGAAGGCTTGCTTGATGAGCATGCTGGAAACCTTTGGATGTAGCTGCTCCAAACTGATGAATCCAACAGCCACTAAGAGATTAAACCTCACTTGGGGAAGATGAGTTGAAATCATTCACTGCCTACAGATGACTGAACACATCTGCCATGTCCTTGGCCATGAATTTCCAAATAGCTGGTGAAAGCTCATTTACAATACATTCAGAGAAGAGTGAACACAACTATGGAGGGACAGTGAAGGGTTAGACAGGGGAATTAACTACTCAGCCTTTTTTAAAAGGCACAGCTAGGTTTTTATCAAACTCTAGCTGTGACTGCAATCCCTAACATTTTCCATGTGTTCAGGGATGAATGATTCCACACCTGACCTACACACATTATATGGTCCCTTTGTGCACAGCCATATACACACACGGCTCTTAACAAAACAGTGGGTAATTGTACCCCTTCAGATGTTGTTATACTTGCATCATCTGCCACCACTGGGTACTTTGAATAGAACTAATGGGAGTTGCAGTATAACATATGGAGGGCCACAGATGTTTGCCTACCACCACTGCACATGACTTGAACCATTTCAAGTGTGTGTGTGCACATATGTGCATGCATACATGTGTGTGTTAAGTGGCAATCCCTGCTTCAACCTATGTTTATTCATCAAAATGTGCAGACACAGCCCTGCATGCACATCAGAATGTGTGGACACAGCCCTGCACTTTTCTATGCCTACAGGAAAGCATAGAAAGGTCTTTCCATTTGAGGGAAAGAGTTTCCAATCACTTGGAGAGAACACTCAACTACAAGGGCTCAACTGATGGCTAAGATCCCAATAGAGAATCCTAGCCTCTGAGAACTAGTCAAAATCATCAACAGTGCAAACACCCAACTTTCCCCCTTAAGCACATTTGTTCACAAACTGAAATAGCCAGGCTTCAGTCACTTACACAAGGAACACTACTCACAGCATGAACAAACCTCTGAATGATGGAGCAAGCGATGGCCCAGCAGCTTTTTCTATAGGCTTATTGTTTTCCCCAGGCAGTTTCCTGATATGGTCTGATTTAAGCAGTTCTTTGTAATGGTGCCTGTGTTAAAATAAAGGCCTCTGTGTAAGGTAATCCTCTCAGAGATACAGGAGGCGATTAACTTGCACTTTCAGTTTCTAAAACTCAATCGGCTTTTGTGCACTCTGGAGTTTAATTAGGTGGTGATTGGAGACTTTGCCATATTAATTCAGTGCACTGCAAGAGTGTGTCAATGGTAGCTCACATTCCTGTCCAATGTGAACCTCTTTGATCGAGCATTATTTCATTTTTATGTTACCACTACTTCTCTAGGAGAGATAATGGATAGAAAATTGGTATCTTTTGCTGGATCTCTTTTTTCCCCAAACACAATATAGTGTAATCAACATTTCAGGCATTTATATATTAAGCAACAATACAGTCAAATAAAAGATAAAAACCAACTTTAAACAGGGAAAGATAAGAATGTAGAAAGTAGTCTTTGTCTATTAGCTAAAGTAGTACAGTACTTTAAGCATGTGCAGCAGATTTGCTTTTTTCCCCTTTTGGGTGGAGGACACCTAAGCAACATTACAAACTGCTTTAAAAACCTGCCTTAATTTCAGAACAAGTTTTTGCATACATTAGTGTAAAGGGATGTTTGAGAAAGCATGAGTTCAAAGCTCCCCTGGATATGTAGTTAGCAACATAATTGTTTGAATCCAGGTTGACAGTGAAACACCCAAGACCTTTATAACAATTATAGTATACACAGAAACAGAGGAGAAACTGAGAAATTCGCAACATGAAACCTGTATGTTGTATAACTCTTCAGACCTTGCCCCTGTTGAAAAAGGGAGAGGTAAAACAGATGCAAAAGAGGAGGAAGTCAAAGGGTATCTGGTCTGAAACAAGCAATAAAAGTTGCATTTCCTAGATGTCCCTTCTCTGCGGGGTCAGAGTCCCAGCTAGCTTTCTCTGACTTATGTAAACAAGCTTCCATGCAGAAGGAACCAGTGTATTATTTTGTTCTCTGGCAAGGCTAGGCATTGGTACACTGAATCTTCATCTCCACTTGTCCACTTACACTGGCTTATGCATGACATTGTCAGGACTCAGCCCTACAGACCAACTGTAGGGCTGAGTCCTGACAATGTCATGCATAAGCCAGTGTAAGAACTTGGATGAGCCCCATGGTGAGGCTGCTGAAGGAGGTGATCTCCAGAGCCATTGGAAGGTTCTGCAGAGGTCGCAGCAGTGGCAGAGGAGTGAGTGGACAATCTGGCCCCTTGGGGCAGGACCCTCGTTATGTCCACCTGTATGGGGGTATTCCTATTTGTATACGAATATCCCCCATCTCTAATGCACATACATATGAATGCTTCTTAATTTCACTCAGAACTAACATCTACAACATTTCTACAAACTAAGGCAGGCACAGTGATAATTCAGGATTAGTACAAACCTATTAAGTATGACACCCCTACATGGCCATTTTATGCATTTTTTTACCATCATTACATTGTGTTTTACAAAGAATGTGCAAGCATGCACAGCATTTTTGTCAGTTCTTTTATCCCGTAAAAAGGGGTGGGATTGGTTTTGAAAGTTTCCAGATTCAGTGCCCTAATTATTTCAATTATTTACAGAAGTCCTTGAGACTTAAGCAAAGCAGCTTGAAACAAGTGTACATTGGAATCCACCAAGAGTTATTTGGATATTACAATTTTCCAGATTGGAAGAACTTATTTTTAAACCTTCAAAACAGTCACCATGCAAGAAATGGGAACAGAGATTCTCAGAGCCAGATCAAAAAACTGCTAACTGGCATTTTAAGCTTTCACACTTCTTCTAAACTCTTCTACAACTAATCCTGCTTTTCAAGAGGGAAGAAGAAAGTGAATGAAGAGAAAGAGAGAGACACAAAATATAAATAAACACCATTACTGGGGAAGCAGAGTATGATGAGTGACATAACTGAACAGATGTCAATGTACAATATGGAGGAGACTGCGTACAAAGGCTGAGAATTCCAAGCATCAATCTCTTGTACTCAGATAATGCTGCAATACCTGGAAGCTATATCAATAGACCAGATCCGCAAACATATATTTTCCTGTTTTCAGTACCTTCTGAAGCAAAGTTACATGAACTTAAAGGAAGAACGGTGCCTATAAGCTGCTTGAGAAATAAAATAAATAAAGAAAAACTAGTTTGCTTGAATAGAATGTGAACAATGTCTTTCTTCCCAAACAGACACAAATGCATACATACATGCATACACACTCACACTAAGTGTTTACACAGACATCTCAATCAGTTGGAAGAAGAAAGCTGAACACTTCCAAAGTTTCTGTGTAATTTCTATAGGTTCCCTCATTAATTAACATAGAGAGTGACTTTTCATGCCAGCATGTGGATGGGCTTGCCTGAGAACTTCCTGGTATAGTCACCAGCTGACTGGAATACAGGTACAAACACTGTCACTTGCAATTTTGTTCAAATTCTCTGATGTACATGAATGGATGTTGAACAGGTTGCTGTATGTGCCATTCTTGCTCCTCCCCCATACAGGTAAAATGCTTCAAATGCTTGGTCCAGAAATGCAGGCAAAGGACAGGAAAGAGTGGTGGGTTCACTGATGAATCAGCTTGGCAGGACTGCAGCAAGGACACTGAGACATTACAGAGCATGAAAGGGGACTTTGCTGTAAAGAAGGGTGATACAGCCCACCAGTCTGCCAAAACTAAACCTACATAATCCAATACAGAAACAAGCACACATTAGGCCAGCTGTATTAAGCTTTTAGCATAGCAACAGAAGCAGGTCACTCAGGCAGGCAAACCTCCTATCAAGCAAACACAGACTGCAGTGATAGGAAAGGGAGGAAATCCATACCTGGAATTAGTAGCTGTAGTGGTCCTTAGGGAGGGGAAACCTTCTTTTTCCTAGCCTTCTCTTCATTTGATCCACATAGTTATTTTGTTGGGAGTTTGAGGATGCTGCCTCTTTCTTGATCAAACAAGCATTGACACAGCCTTCTAGTTTGGGGCCTGCCATATCACTGCAGTGTGAAATGCATTCAGACACCCATTCTCAGGCATTCTTGTTAATGATGACAATGCCAAGGAAAATTTCCTTATATGAAGGAAAAAGCCAAAGCAGATTACCTAAAGACTTCAGATTGTGCAAGCTGCCATCCTGAAAACCACAAGGGACTCAGAATGAAGAGGAGAAAATACATCTGATCTCAAGGAAGAGAAGCGTATCTCCTTAGAAGGCGATCAGAAAAAGAGAAATGGAACACCAAAGCTTACTGCTATCAAGGTGGTCGAAGGACACAATCAAGTGATGAAGGCCCTTGGCTAAGAATGAAGCTCAGGGATGGGGTTTTGCAGACAACCCAGGGGCTACAACTGGCTCACCTGCACCAACAGGCTACAACTCCCGCTTTAAACAAAATGGGAAAGATCCATGGCAACCCCCAAGAAACATTCCAGGAGAACTTGACTCTTTGAAGGCACAATTTTTGCTGGGAAACATTTCTTATGCAGCTTGCAGGCCAAACAACTCCCAAACCCTGGCTAGATAGATATGTGGTTTGTTTACTGTGACATTTGAACTTGGCAAGGAGCTTGATCGTTCATTTGCCTATCCTCTGACAAGCCAGAGGATTAATCCAAGGTTTACTCTATGGTTAATTTTTCGGCTTTTCGGAAGAGAAACAAGCTTCCTGCTGGACTTGCATATCACAATAAACAAACTGCAGTCCAAAGACCCTTGGTATGTTCAGCTACTTCCACTGGAACTGACAGTGATTAGGATAACCGGCATGGATGAACACATTTCTTCACCTGCTGCAAGTAGCAGATTCCTTAAATTTCATCTTGTTGTGATATCTGAATGAATATGGCCTATGACACAGTTAATACAATTGAAGTTTATATCAGCACCACATATGGCATAGAAGTTGACTACAACTCCTTTAGACACTATTTGAGCAAAGGATGTCCATTACTGGAATCGTTTTCACTTCCAGTGCTAGGAGAACACTCCAAAGACTCAGACTTTCCAAGCTATATCTGAAAACACAACAACATTACCTCAGAACGGTTATAGTCTCACTCCAATGCCTTTGTTCACTCTCCCAGGGATCCACTCTGATCCATTCTGATGTTTCTACTGCAAGCCGAGCCATTGCTATCCGATGTTTGGCTGTCACCAATCCTTGCTTGCCATAGTTGTCGTTAACTGGTGAAATTATGCCTCCAACCACTTGGTACCTTCCTTGGTAGGAGAAAAAAAATAACAATAAAAAACGTCCGTGCTTTATATCTGTTTTGTAATGGTGATAAATGAGAAACCCAAAAAACTGTGAAAAAAATAAAAAGCATTGTTCTCTCTCTTCTACGATTTAAACTGTTGAAAGTTCGATTACCAAAGTGTTAACTCCATTAGATAGCACTAAAAGGAAGAGTGGCTAAGCATAAAACTTCTGCAAATAGAAACATTTTTCATTTATAATGCACAGGATTAGACAGAATGAAGATAAGGTTAATGAATTTTTTGTTCAAGTAACTGTACCAGAACAGCTTCACAATAGCTCAGCTGAGGAATGTTTTAATTGACCAGCATTTATTTTTTGGTATCTAGTGCATACTAGTTAACAAGAAAGGCTTGTTCTCATGCTAAAGCAGCAATGCCATGTTTCTGTACATGCTTTGTGCAACTGTATTTAACAGCACAAGGCAAAGTAAATCAGTCTAGATGGAAGAAAATGGTTAATAAAAGGTTGTTTAAACCAAGAGTGGAATGCTATGGTGTGAGGTCTTTAACTGCTAACAGATCTTCATCCAGATGACTGAATATGATAATTAAAATGTGACAAGACTCTTTTATTTTTCCTCTGTACAAGACTTACTGCCAGGAAAAACCATGGAATTTTTAATGAAATCACCCTTTGAAGTGTTGGTGTAATTTAGGTTGTCAAAAATCAATTGAATAGTTCCTTAAGTCATAAAATACATCAAGTCAAGTAGTGAAGTAAAACTGCAGGAAGACAAGCTTTCCTCCATTTGTTTTCTAACACTTGCATTCTGGAAGACAATGTCTAGATACATAAAGAATCTCAAATATTCTCATGGATCAGTACTGGCAACAACATCAATCTGTAACTTTTTACACTCACAGTTGCTTACTATGAATATCTATTAACCTACATAATACAAATCAGTCCTCTAGCCTAGTACTGGTGACTGAAAAGGCAGCAGTTATCCAGGTTCTTGAGAAAGACCCTTGCACTTGCTATACAAGATGCTCTTAGCAGAAAGTAGCAGGAAGTGAATCTGGGACCTTATGAAAACATTGGCTAGAACCCTATTCACGATGATCCATGCTCATGGGGCTGATTATGTTATCAGTCATGGCTGTTCATTTACCACTGACTTAGTGCAAAGCACAACTCTAAGTGGTTTACAGCAACACAATGCAATAGTAGCCCAACCTCCCATTCACTCAACATGAAATATATCAACAACAATAAAATGTTTCTTCAGGAGCTGTAGGGGTGTGTGTGTGTGTGTGTGTGTGTGTGTGTGTGTGTGTGTGTGTGTGTGTGTGTGTGTGTGTGTGTTATCTATCTGTCTATCTATCTATCTATCTATCTATCTATCTATCTATCTATCTATCTATCTATCTATCTATCTATCTATCTATCTATCTATCTATCTATCTATCTATCTATTTTATTTTCTGTGTATAAGACACCCTCATGTATAAGACACCCTTTCTAACCCAAAGTTTCTTTGTTCACAAGAAAGTGGAGGGTGAAAGCAGGGATCAAAGTGCTTCAATTCTTGCTTTCCCCTCCACGTTCCTTGCAAGAAAGTGGATGGGGAAGCAGGAATCATCAAAGTGCTTTGATTCCTGCTTTTCCCCTCCCCTTTTTTGCAAGGAAAATGCTTTTCCCTTCCACTTTCCTCGCAAGGAAGTGGAGTGGGAAAGCAGGAATCATCAAGGCACTTTGATTCCTGCTTCCTTCCTCCACTGTTCATGAAGAAAGTGGAGGGGGGGAAGCACTTTCCTCACAAGAAAGTGGAGGGGGAAAGCAGGGATCAAAGCGCTTTGATCCCTCCCCCTCCTTACTTCAATGTATAAGACAACCCTCAATTTTTAATCTAAATATTTTAGAGAAGTATTGTCTTATACATGGAAAAATATGGTGTAGATAGATAGATAGATAGATAGATAGATAGATAGATAGATAGATAGATAGATAGATAGATAGATAGATAGATAGATAGATAGATAGACAGACAGACAGACAGACAGACAGACAGTTAATTTACTTTCTAAAGTTTTGGATTAATCAGATTTATTGCATTATTTTTTCCAGATTTGTGGTTCTAAAAACTGTTCAGCATCTCCATTACTATTTTTCCTGACACCTGCCCCACCTGCCCACTATTATATAAAGCTGTTATCATTTAATAAGATCATACTGAATGAACATAAATAAAATCTTAACTGAAGTATTTTTAATGTAAGCAATGAAATTAAAACAGGGATTTTTGAATGTAAGATAGAGAAAACCAAGAGAAAGACAGTAGGATGTCATGAAGAAAACCACAAATTCATTAGTGCATCTTTTCAGCAGTGGAATTTTTGCCTTAGCCTTAAAATAATGTGTTCAGTCTTAGTATCATTTATCTTGATCAGAGAAGATGCTGTAGAGTAACCAAGTGCAAAACACTTATGGAGGTCCTGCCTTACTGGCGTTCAATTCATGCAATTCTTATCATTATCTTTAAAACCTGAAAGAACTGCTTCCTGCTACATGAATGTTCCCTTTCTCTCTAATAATCTGGGAAGGTTCTGCTTATTGCAGTTGCCTTTGTGATAACCATGTTAGTCTGCTGCAGCAGCAACAGAGAAAATTCCAGTACCTTAAAAATTGACACATTTATTATAGCGTAACCTATTGTGGACATCTGTGAGAACTTATGCCGTTATAAATTTATAGCCTTTAAGGCACTACAAGATTCTTTCTTTGTTCCATATTTGAAATTGTTGCAGAGTTTTGAATATTTGGCTAAAAAACCTCAAGCCAAGCAGTGGAAGTGCAGGAACTTACAGAGCAGAATTAGCTGCAGGTCTCCCCAGAATAGCCCACTATTTATTGTTTCATCAACTGGCCCTTAGAGTTTCAGTTACTCACTCTGAAATATTTACTCCCAGTTCTGAACAGATCCAAATCAGCATATTGTACAAAATGTGACTTACTTGCTTTCAACAACAGGCCTCGGCAGACAACATTCACATAACTGCACCAACTGCATAGCAGACTAGACAGAGAGGCAGAAAAGACACTTAAGCAGAAAGGTGTGTCTCTCTTTCAAATCAGAGCCAGGGAAAGAACAATTGATTATTACTGGTTTGCTTGACAATCACCCCAGCTCAGAAAAGTCCTAGCCAATCCTAGTTCAAAAAGCATACGAAGTTGAAATATCTCCAACACATTTTTGTTGTTGTTGTAATGCACAATTTTGCACTGCTCTGACTTGAGATGGGCACTTGCCACAGTTTGGCATGGTTCAGCTCATCAGGCCCACAGGTGTTGTGCGGGCGCCCCGGATTCCACATCCTGCCTCCTCCCACAGGCATTCCGTCAGCAGTGGCACAGGATTCCCAGCGCTGCCTCCTCCTCTTAGTGGACACCCACAGGATGATGTGGGGCACAGACTCCAAGGTGCCTGCACAACACCTATGGGACTGATCAGCTGAACTGCAGTAAATGCCTATCTTTAGCCCTAACCCTAGAAATCTACAACTATTCACTTGCAGTTGAAGAATTTTCTGTTCTGGTAGGATTTGAGCCTCCTGGACATGCAGTATGGCTTTCTTTTTCTATCGCTGTGTTATTTGCACTTTGCACAAATTTACTGTCATTGAGTTCATTGCTAAATCTTCTACATTTATATTTAATTCTAAAATTAACTATTTTTAAAAAAACACTGCTAACTTTTAGAAAGCTTATTCACTATCACCAGCTTTGGGTACCTCTGATTAAGGCAGAAATTTGAGAGATACAGTATTACATTTAAATACATATTTCCTAGTTTCCTTTTTCTTACAGATGTTATCTTAAGGTCTTGCTTAACTGAAAATCACACAATAGAAATGGAATCCTAGCTCACACACAATTTCACAAATACCCTTGCCTCATGGCAGCTAGATCTGCCTGAAACTGCTCATTCTAGACAAAGTGAGCAAACCTCTAGCTACACCTAGCTGTCAGTTTACAACCCAAGAAAAGGTCATGAAAGAAGAAGTGCTTAATGTACCTACACTTACTTCAATCCCAGCCCTCCAAGATATTATGTAATAAATATATCCTTATCTGCTCTCCTGGTATGAGTCAGCTGATTGCTCAGAAGTCCACCAACATTTCAGAGTGGGCAGAAGTCTTAAAGTACTGTACTATTGAGCCTATTTTCTCAGCAGTTGCAATCATACATAAACTACCTTGGCAGATGATTTTTTTTACTCTGTTTTCAGTAGGTTCCAGTAAAGGGCTCTCTAGTTCTGCTGAGGTAACTTATGTTGCCACTTCAGATTCACACTCTAATAGAAAGTGCAAACTTTTCTTTAAAATGAAAATCTCAAGAGAGACCATAAAATTGCATCATGTTTATCACTGACCAATTACTCAAGGTCATATAGGCTACAATTACAGTTAGAAAATACAGTAATACAAATTCAGGAGCAGATGATACCTTTATTAAACCACTAAAAAAATCAAGTAAACAAGAAAGATAGCTTTCAATGATAATTCATTTCCTCAGGCTGTGCACCAAGTTCTTGTGGGTGGTTGAAAAAAGGATATACTTGTATTAGTCCCAAAGTTTCACGACAATTGTTGTGCCAGGTTAGCTTCTTGATATGGATACAGATGCAGTCTGCAAAAAGCTTTTGGGGAGAGGGTGTGATTTCAAAACTTCTCCTCAGCCAGAATTTGGAATTTATCACCCAACTCTTTAACAAAGGACCACCAAACACTCTGCACGTCCTCTGACCCCCCCCCCCTTTGGCCTTCTTTTTGATCTTCAAAGAATTTCTACCTGGTCTGGAAAAACAAGGTAATACTGAAGCATGGCAAGTCTTCATCAGAGCTGGGATTAAAAGTGTGGCTTTAGCAACCACGCATCTCTTTTCTGAACTTTGTAAGTTAGAAAATAACCTCCTCCTTTCTGGGAGCAGAAGTTCAAAACAACTGGAGGACTGAATGT